TCTGATATTACCGTGTCCCATTGATTATCATCGTTCCTGTTGTATCTTCATTTAATACCAGACACTCGAATTCACTCATGTTATTACCTAGACTTCTAGCATTTGTATACAATTACTTATCAAATTTGTCAATATTTAGTTGTCTACCTTCATGTGATGTAACTGAATGGGACTCTTTTTCATTTGACTGTTTCTCTTCAGTTCCTACCTGTACTTTATCAACTTCTATCTTCTCCTTTTTACTAGGACATGGAGAATCCACATGAATAGACCCTCCCCTAAGAAACATCTTTGTCCGAACTGTGTGCTCCTCTGCATGTGTTGGTTTTCCCGCAGCCCTTAGTTTAAAACCTCCTCTACAACCTTTTTAATTTTACATGCCAGCTTTGGGTCACAGTCTCCTGACACATACTATGTTCTGCTGGTGCAAAGGGGGGCGGGGGAGGTAACTGTATGGGCAGAACATATATTTGCATGTGCATATATATGGGTGATGATTTTGGACAGTTTTGTCCTTTAATTTTCAAGCTAGTGTGTGTCTGTCTGTCTGCCTCCCTGTTTTTCGCAGTTTCCCCTGGTATTTTTTTTTTTTTTATAATGGAGATATCCTATCTCCTAGAGCTGGAAGGGACCGTGAAAGGTCATCAAGTCCAGCCCCCTGCCTTCACTAGCAGGACCAAGTACTGATTTTTGCCCCAGATCCCTAAGTGGCCCCCTCAAGGTTTGAACTCACAACCCTGGATTTAGCAGGCCAATGCTCAAACCACTGAGCTATCCCTCCCCCAAGTTATTTGTGCACCAGGATAGCGGTTTAGCCAAGGGTGGGTGTTGGTTTGAATGAAAACCGTGCAGCTAAAACCCTGTGTGGGACGGTGCTCTGTAAGCACCCTCGCCTGACAGGTGTGCACCACTCTTATCTGCAAGTTCATTGCTGACCCTTGAGGAGGTTAGTCCCATGGCTGAGCTGTGGCTAAACAAGGCTGGTATGTGAGTGGAGGAATCTGTGGCCTTGAGATCACATTGGGAACCAACCTCCTTGTCTGAAAACTCTCTGGTGGAGCTCTTGGGCCTTGTCTCTAGGTCGTTACTAATATTGAGGCCTCCAGCTGCATCAGGCCTGGTTGTGTTGGGCGGGGCACAAACAAATAGGAAAACGATCCCTGCCCTGAAGAGCTCATGGTCTAGGAATCCTCTCCCCACACTTCATCCACACACAGTCACCTGGTTCCTTCTCCTCTGCAGCCCCTGCCATCTGTCGTGGCCTTCCTGTGCCTTCCTATTTCATCAGCTCTCCGTTCATTTCATCTCTCACCTCCCTTGTCTCTAACTCCCAATTGATCTCTCCCTCTGTTATTGGCCTGAATGCTTTAATTTATTCACCACCCTCCTTTCAGTAATTTATCCCTTGTACTTTTTGTTGTCTTGGATTATTTAATTCTGTAAAACGCTTTGGGATGCCTTGCGTATGAAAGACACTGCACACAATACAATTATATTGTATTGCCGATGGTTCACTGGCCTCCTGGATTTCTAATGCTTATCGTGGTGGTGTTATTGTAGTTTATTATTTGTGTTGTGTCTGTGCTCTGAGGCTCAATCAGATGGGGCTGTGCCGTGCTGGGCACGGCAGAACCAGCCCCCGCCCCCGAAGAGCTTGCAGTCCAATTGTGCTGTGATTTAATGCTAACATGCTTGGTTGCTGTGAGTGTATGGTTATTGGAAATATTATACTGTGCTGGGGGGCTTGGGGGCACAGATCCCAGTTGTGGTGTTGTGGTTAAAGTGGAGGGCTGGGTTCTCCCCCAGCTCAACAACAGACTGACTTTGTGACCTGGGGCAGGACATGTAACCCCTGTGTAGAATGGGGATAATCGTGCCTACTGTTTCACTATTGCCTCGGGGGTGTAGAGGGGGATTGTGAGGCCAAACTCCCCTGTTTGTTAAAGCACGTGAGGCTGCACGGATGGAAGGTGGTAGGGAAATGAAAAGGATTCCTATTTGAATGTCCTATTTTGTATTGTGCTGAGGCTCTGGGCGGGAGGGCACCCAGCTCGGGGGCTAGGCTGGCAGGAGGTGTCCCTCCCTGACACGCTGGACAGCTGCAGCGGGACTCTCCCTGGCATGTGAGCCCTGTGTGGCTTGACCATGGCTCTGGGCTGGCTCCTGCCCTGTGGAAGTGGCCTGTGGGGGAAGCTCCCAGCTGGGAGAGCTTTGGGGAGTGGTTCTCTGGGGCTTGCTTGGTGAGGAGACGTGTCGTGGGTCCCTTTTGGCCTTTGGAGCAGCTGGGTCTGTGATACCGTCTCTCTTGCTCTTTGTAACCATCAGGTACATGGCACTGGCGCCAGCCCCGCAGGGTCACACCTTCCCGGATGCAACCACACTGCCTGGCGGGTTTTTCCTCTCGCTTACACTGAGCTGCCCAGCAGGCATGAGGCACGGCCTGCCTCTGACAGGACAGTGCTATTGCCTCGGCAGCCTCTTCCTTCCCCAGCCCCTTTGGGAAGAGGCTGGATCCCAATCCTACCCCATCTCATTGCTCCCCTAGCTTGTGCTCTGTGAAAGTCCCCGTAAAAGATTCACAGGGACAACTGAGCGCTCAGGGTGTTGGGAGATGAAACACAGGAGTCGATCCACCTTCCTACAGAACCAGAGCAAGATTGATTGGGGCGGTATCAGAAACAGGACAAGACGGAAATAGAAGGGAAAGTTAGACTGAACAGTAAAAACCCTTCCTAACAGCCAGCGGCCTGTGAAATTGTGGGATAGACACCTGCAGGAAACCAGGGGAGTTTTCATTTGAGTTATTTAAAACTAGACAGCACAAAATAGGAAAATACAGGGAATGTCAAGGGCCAATCTGCTGTTTGTCTGTTTAGGTGTTTGCATTAGCACCATTCACAGTGGTTGTGGTCCTTGCTTGTAGACCTCAGGGATGCATGATCTGGGATCAGATTGGACCTTGCCACCTTTAATTTTTATGACTGCACTTATATTTACACTATTGCTGTCCTTGGCTCCCATCCCCACGCAGCTCTGCTACTGTACCATGCTCCTGACCTGCAGTAACCCTGACTTAGATGAGTGCAGCCAAAGAGAGGTTCCCGAGCTGTGACAGCTGCTAACTGGGGGATCCATTCCTGTGCAGTTGTGCTGGTCTGGGAGTTACTCATGGCTCCCTTATTTCTTTGAATCTGAATAGATCTCTGAGCCATTAGCGATTATCTTTGCGAACTCGTGGAGGAGGGGAGAGGTACCAGAGGACTGGAAAACGGCAATTATAGTACCTAGCTATAAACAAGGGAATAAGGACAACCCAGGGGATTATAGACCAGAAAGCTTAACTTCAGTACCCAGAAAGATAACGGCGCAAATAATCAATCAGTTTGAAAGCACCTAGAAGAAAATAGGGTGATAAGTAACAGTCAACATGGATTTGTCAAGAACAAATCATGTCAAACCAACCTAATATCCTTCTCTGAGAGGGTAACAAGCCTTGTGGATGGGGCGGTGGGGGTGGGGGTGGGCAGCAGTAGATGTGATATATCTCGACTTTAGTAAGGCTTTTGTTACAGTCTCACGACCTCAGAAACAAACTAGGGAAATACAGCCTAGATGGAGCTACTGTAAGGTGGGTGCACAACTGGTTGGAAAAGCATACTCAGAGGGTAGTTATCAGTGGTTCACAGTCATTCTGGAAGGGCATATCGAGTTGTGTCCAACAGGGATCTGTCCTGGGTCCTGTTCTATTCAGTATCTTTATCAATGATTTGAGTAATGGCATAGAGAGTACACTTATAAAGTTTGTGGGCGACACCAAGCTGGGAGGGGTCATGAACGCTTTGGAGGACAGAATTAGAATTCAAAATGATCTTGACAACCTGGAGAAATGGTCTGAAATAAATAGGATGAAATTCAATAAGGACAAAAGCAAAGTACTCCGCTTGGGAAGGAATAATCAATTGCACAAATACAGAATGAGAAAGTACTGCCTAGGAAGGAGTACTGCAGGAAAGGATCTGGGGGTTATAGTGGATCATAAACTAAATATGAGTCAACAATGTAATACTGTTGCAAAAAAAGTGAACATCATTCTGAGATGTATTAGCAGGAATGTTGTAAGCAAGACATGAGAAGTAATTCTTCCGCTCTACTCAGCACTGATAAGGCCTCAACTGGAGTATTGTGTCCAGTTCTGGGCGCCACACTTCAGGAAAGATGTGGACAAATTGAAGAAAGTCCAGAGGAGAGCAACAAAAATGATTAAAGGTCTAGAAAACATGACCTATGAGAGAAGATTGAAAAACTTGGGTTTGTTTAGTCTGGAGCAGAGAAGACTGAGGGGGGATATAACTGTCTTCAAGTACCTCAAAGATTGTTATAAAGAGGAGGGTAATAAATTGTTCTCCTTATCCACTGAGGACAGGAAAAGAAGCAATGGGCTTATATTGCAGCAAGGGCGGTTTAGGTTGGACATTAGGAAAAACTTCCTAACTGTCAGGGTGGTTAAGCGCTGGAACAAATTGCCCAGGGAGGTTGTGGAATCTCTGTCACTGGAGGTGTTTAAGAGCAGGTTAGACAAACCCCTGTCAGGGATGGTCTAGATAATATTTCGTCCTGTCTCCATAGCCAGGGGACTGGACTAGGTGACCTATTGAGGTCCTTCCCAGTCCTACATTTCTACGATTCTATGAATGTGCTGAGCTGATGCATTACAATCAGAACAGACGTTTCCCCTTGTCCATGATCCCTGCTTCTCCAAAGGAAGGAGTTTGCACTCTTGGTACAAGCTTCCCCAGTATACCCTCACTTTAACTCTAGGGCCTCCAGTCAGGTAGTGATGGGGCCACCTTATGTCCCTGGAGATAGGGGCCAGACAGAGAACAGGTTAGTGTCCAGTGGAAGTGATTGTCACAGGGCCCAACCCAACCTGGCTGGGAGTCAGTACAGGTCTTGCTAGCCCCGCCCCAGTCACTCATGGCTCTCTCCTGCTTTGTGCTCAGATACGCCATCGATCGCAACACTGACCTGGAGAGGATCTTTGACATTGATGCAAACACAGGCGCCATTGTGACAGGCAAAGTCCTGGATCGGGAGACAGCAGGGTGGCACAACATCACGGTCCTGGCAATGGAAGCAGGTGAGGAGGAGGGTTCTGGAGAGGGGTGGGTCTCACTCACTGGCGCATGGCCTCAAGGAAGCAGGCATTAAATAGAGGTGATGTAAGAGAAGATGCAGGAAGGGGAATCTAACATCTCCCCAGACAATCTAAAAATACTCCTCCTGTCTCATGTGTTGAGAAGGGGAACTGTGGTCGGTTGGTACCTTTGATGAACACTAATCAAAACCCATGTTATCTACCCAGCAGCTCCACCAGCCATCCCTACGCTGCTCATTTGCTGCTTTCACACCTGATGAGACACCTCTGGGGCTCCCAAGAGCCCATGTTTATATAACATGTTTCCTCCTCAGTTCAGATGCCATCCTGTTTCTGGATTCACTGCCTGAGTCTTGGGTATGTGGCCGCCTCTGCCTCTCTCCTCAGACACGTGCAGCACTCACAGCCACCCACGGGGAAGTAAATTACATTGTGAGGACTCTGCAGTAACTTTAAAATTCAATCCGGCCCCTGCACCTGCACCGCTAGGTATTTTGTGATCGACGCCTCCTACCCATGTACCTCCCATTCATACACACATGCTTTGCACAGGCGCCGGGCCAATAGCAGAAGCAGCTTGTCCTGTGTTACATCAAACAGTGATTTTATAAAAACAAATAGATTTGGGGGCATTGTGTCTAGAAAGGGCCATGACAGTGACAGACAGATTGACAGATGAAATACGACAGATGGACAGAAAGGCCCATCACTTGCACTCTTCTTCCTTTTCTCCAGACAGTTGTGCAGGCTGTCTCTGCTCTGCGTCTCGGCCCCGCTCTCTGTGGTGTAGCAGGTACCTGCTCTCAGCTGTGGTGATGCCGCAGCCATGCTGTCTGTGCTTCATCAAGGTTATTTCTCTGCATGACACCACTGGGTGAGAGCTTTGGTGATTCCAAAGACTTCATTAAACACAGGAATAAGCAGCAAGGAGGCTGAGGCAGCTTCGATGAGCTCAGAGAATTGCCCTTCCCAAGGCTGGGCTGGCTGGGCTCACAGGGAGAACACTTGCCTCCAGATCCAGAGCAGCAGAAGAGCTTCACTAAATGCAAAACTCAGCTCCGTGACTGTTGTTCCCTCAATAATTTCTGCACACACAGACCACTGTACCCCTTACTCACATGTATAAAGAAACCCATTAACTGGTCAGGCTCTCTCTCCTGTGGGCTGGGAAGGAAGCAAGAGAAATTCTCGGTGTAATTTCTGTTTTGTAAATACTTGGGAAGTGCCAGATACTGTGGGTAGATGGATGGGTGGATGATGGACGAACTTCAAGGACTTGGAAGTTTGAACACACCGCTAGATTTGCTTTTATCTTTTTAAAGGGGCCTGTGGGGGGTTGTTACTGATGGTTTTTCTCCTGTTTCTGCCCATGTTTCCTGCACTCCGCTAATTCCCTTTCCTACTGTTTGCCTGGTTCTGCCCTTCCCATACTATGCACTTTCCCAGAAGGATGAAAATGATGTTATAAAAACTGCTTTTCTAAATTTCAAAAAGACAATGAGAAAACAAAAGCCCAAGCAGTCACGTTAGCTTCTGCTTCTGATGAATCTTTGAGCTCCCTCACTGGGGCTGGGAGGGCTGCAGACAAAGTAGGGAAGAGCCAATAGCTGACAGAGTGGATTTCTGAACGTGCCCCTTGATGTTCCTCTCCTGCTTCTTCCCAAGAGGGCCAGCACGTGCTGTTCTGCTAAGTGAAAGGCGTTTTTGTTGGTGAAGTAAATATTCAGCACTATGGCAGGTAGAAAGGGAGCACCTGCCTTATGTGTGAATACAAATGAACTGGCGAGAGCCAGACTCAGGGCGCGGACTGAAAGATTGAGAGGAAGAAGGGAAAGAAAGAGAGACACCTAAAGGGCAGAGGTTTGCAGAACCAAGTAGCTGTGAGATAGGGAGCTACTGGATTCCCTAAAGGCTATTGTGGAAAAGGGAGCTTGTGCCTGAGAACTCCGTCTGCCTGGGAATTCGGAGCTGATAGCCAGATGGTAGCAGTGACCTGGGGGGCTAACAGGAAGGGCCTGTGGCAGGAGATGGAGCCTGCCTGTTCGCCATACTCTATTGTCCTCTCTTTCAATAAGCTACTTCTGGAACCTTGACATACAATCCTCATGTGATAGCCTTTCCTTTCCGTAGGGCAGCGATGCCCTTCCAGTCTTCGTTTGCAGTTGCTGAGGAACCCTCCCTCATCCAGCTGGGGAGAGCGAGGAGGAAATGCATTAGCAGACGTGCAGGTTTCATGTTCGTTTATCTGAGAGGATTTTTCAGATATCTGCACTTCCGCCCCAACACAGCGACATGGAACAAATGGCTGGCATGTTGCTGAGCAGCCAAAGCCCTGACTCAGGCAGAATAATTTCCCAGCAAAAGTTCTGTTCATCTTTTTTACTTCAGTTAAAGACAGAAAAGAACAAACTCTTGGTCCTGCCTTGCAGAGGCTTTGAACAAACTCTTCATGGGGAATGAAAAGAAAATAAATAATAGCAAAAAGAGCTTTGATAAACCACAGGTGTTCTGCTGCTGGGTAGGAAGCTGGCAAGATTATCCCCAGTGCCCTGCCACGCTCTGTAAGGCATGTGCAGGCCCTTGTCTCATTATGTGGAGCTAAGCAGGTTGTTCCCTGTGAGACAATGGATCTGACCCTTTTGACTCCAGTGAGAGGGCTTGGGTTCCCTCCACATTCCACACAAGCATCGAGAACGATAGAGGCTTCAAGAAGAAGCAGAACAGTGGGGAATACAGAGAACACGAACACAATCTTCAAACCCTTCTGCTCACGTGTGTAATGTCTCAGAATGGTAACATCTCCAGGCCAGGCGCAGACCCGGTCGTGTTCCACTTTCCACCATCACAGTTAGCACCAGGCTCCAGTCCAATCCACTGGGTGCCTTTGAAATGAGAGAGAGGTCTCAGCTAAGGATTTTTCCTCTGTGCACTCAGTGTGTGCAGGTAGGGGCACCTGCCTAGGTCTGACTCTGAGCAGGGGAGTTTGCCGAGGTCTTGCTTAGGGAACATCTTTAGGGACGTCTTTGTGGGTTGTTTTTTGTCAAGGAAGATGTGCACACGCTCGCCAAGCCGCATGGTGACACATTGATGGGTCTGACGCAGGGCCAGGACTTCACTTAGCACTAATCCTGTCCTTGCCCTGCCTTCCTGGCTCCGGGGCTGAGATGCCTGGGCCCAGGGGGACTCAGTGAGCATCCTCGAGCATGTGTCACTTCTGTTGTTTCCAACCCCACCTCTGCTTCAGCCATTGCAATGAGAGGGGTCCAGAGCCACAAAGACTGGACCCAGATTGGAGCAGCCCTATGGTCCCGGGACATCTGAATCTAGGGTTTTGGCTCAGTCCTGTCTCTGGTTACAGTGAGGTTTTATTTCCACTGGCTGTTGTGAGCTGTATGTTCCTGGGAAAGCTGCACCACTGTGGCCTTGTGGTGAGCACTGGCTGGGCCCAGGCTGGTCTTCCCAGCCCTGCACCGCTGTGTGTCTAGACACCTTTAATGCATTCAGCTGGTACAGATTGTTACCAAAGCAGGGGCACGCGCTTCCTGAGGGCATGGAAATGAAGTTGTGTTAGCGGTGGCCAGTGGAGAGGACGCCGGTGCTGCAGAACAACTCCGCTTTTACAGCAAACATGAGGTGACAAGAATCAGAAGGAAAATATTTATACACAGCAGCTAGGATTTCAGAACAAGTCAGTAAATGCTGCAGTTCCCCTCCAGCAGGGAGGCCTGTCAGACTGGATTACTTCAAAAGCTGGGGAGATTCTTTAGTATTCTGACTTCTCCCCGTCAGTAAGTTCTGACTCATCCATTTTAACTGTCCAGACGTTCCTGCCAGTGACATTACCCTTAACGGTTTGTAATCATGAAATATTAATGGCCAATATTGAATTTAAAGTACAATTTATGTCTGAATTCTCTGGTGGAAAGGGCAGTTGTAAAGGTAAGGCCTTCAAAGTGACAGAAGGAATTTCAGCATGCGGCCTTATAACAGATGTCAGGCTGAACCCAGAGCAGTGCTGGGGCTTGGCGCTGAGGGGAGGAGGCCGGGGCCGCCCGGCGCTG